AGCAAACTTTTACTGCCTGTATATTGCTCTGCACTCTCCCGCAACTAACATCCAGTGTAATGAAGTGTGACATCAGTGTGAGTTGAAGGATCGTCTTCAGAGTCAGCGACAAAAGGCCCGACTGTCTTTTATGAGCCCGAGCTGGAATTAAAGTCTGCCCCGCTCCCACTTACAATAATTCATCAGCCAAGGTTCAGGGCCAACTTTATTGCTATGTAAATGTCTGTATCGTATTTCCTGCTCGCGTTGGATAAGGGTGCAGCATTCAACTCAAATGAGAAAGGCCTTGGCTGAGTTAAAAGCAAGGTTCTGATCCTTTGGCAAACAAACACCTAAATGCCACAATTACTGCTCTTTAATGTGTCAGGACAAGCAATGAATCTGTGAGACCAGTGATTGTTACAGGTTGTATTTAAATTGACACTTAAGTGGAAAAAGCTGGCAAGGTTCCACACTTCTCCCCAAACCAACAAAGAATTGATCCTGCTGAAAGAGGATTGTCAGTTCAGCCAGAGCCTGATTTATCGACTTAGTGTTTGAAGATATTTAAAACATGTCACTGAGTCACACCGTTACACCGGGTGACATGTTTCTTTATTACCATGAACACTTTATTTCTTAGTCAATCCCCCATGGATTAGTCTGACATGGTAAATACTAGGTAGCACTCTCAATGTGGGTTCAGCCTCATCTCCAGTAGAGGTTTAAGGTCAGGTGTGCAGTCTGGATATAGATGTATTGAAGAATTGAGAGACAGTTTAGCGCTTTGTTGGTTTTATTTGTGCATTGGATTAGTGGAAAAAAAAGAAAATGATCATAAAATAAATTCATTTACCTCTATAGAACATCTAGAATGCATTAAAGAACTTAAAGCCCCCGTGTGGATCCTTCAGTTTGTGTTGATTTGATTGCCTCCTGAGATAAAGCAGTCCCTCTTAAAAAAGTAAATTGTGTTTTCTGTTGAAACATTTTCCTCCTGCTTATTTTCACATTCCAGTGTATCAGACATCTTTGTCTTAACAGAATACGGTTTCAGCAGCAGTTTGTTTGACACCTACTCTGTGGCAGCAGTTTCATGCATCAATTATAACCATATAGAAATAATACATCTTGTTGCTGATGGTCTCGTGTGCTTTAAGTGGGTCAGTCAGAGGCATCCATATTGATTTCCGTCTGTTGTAGAAGCAGCTCAAATCTCATTTAACTGCAGCTTTACATTTTTCAATAGTCCAGATTCTTTCCATGTATGTAGGGAATAAAAAAGTATAAGAAAAGCTTCATGTGAAATGACCTTACATTTCAGCACAGCTACTAATGGGTTGCTATGGTAACTGTCAATCCTTTTTCATTAAGCCTTTAACACTCAGTCAGCTTGTAACACTTTCATTTTCAGATAGTTTGCATTGAATGAAGATTACTTTGACAGTAAGTCGGGCACTTTTGGTGAACATTACAAAGAACAGTGTAATCTTCTGATTCCAAAATACATATTTGTGCATGTTTTATTAACACTTAGTCAAACGTTTGTTGTAAGACTTGTTGTGTTGCCTGGAGTGTGGATAAGTGAATGGTCAAAAGGTAAGAGATACAGTCTGCATCAAAGGGAACGCCCACAAAATGTCACATCTGATCGGTGCTGAGGGGGAAAACAGACCACTATAGATAGACACAACACTGAAGGGCTTTGTCACTACAGATAAAATGAGAAATCTTAATCTGAAGTTTTAATCTGAAAGGATTCTTTTCCCCTAGGGGACACCCTCAGACAAGAAGCCGACTGAATCTATTAGATTGTTTAGATGTTTTGTAGATTTTTGGTTTATAAATGTTTGATACTTAAAGGTTAAAGTTCATCTTATGCTTGAAACCTTTTATTTCTTTAACTAAATAAATAAAAATGAGTTTATAATGACTCTGCATTCAGAAAAGTTTTAAATATTCACAGTGGTGTGCTTTTATCCAGAGATGTGCTGCATTTTTTAAATGACATTTGAGCCATTTACTCCTTGAATTTATTCTGTTAATTAAATCTTTTAATGTTTCCCCTTAAAACGCTCTCTCTCCAATCTCCCTGGGAGTATCACAACATCGTGTTCCAGCTCCTCATTGAAGCTGTATATGCGGCTGACCCTGAGTGAAATATTTCAACATCAAATACTATCATATATTCTAGGTATTTTGTGCATGGTTTTATGCACCTTTCTTAAGACAAATTCACCCTGACAGATTTGGTATCTTTGGAAACGCTTGAGATCTCGCCCAGAATTTCAAATTAAGTTGGTGGGTTTGAACAATATTTAGCTGCACAGCATGACTTTGTACTAACTGATGCAACAGCGGGTAAGAAGGGTTTAAGGAGCTGAATCACTAATGGATTGGTTGTTACAGAAAGTGTTGATATCTACTATTCATCAGTATTCATTTAGCTAAAACTTAATAAGACACAGGTGACCGGTGTGCTCACCTGAATGTCAAACAGTAAGAATATATTTTTCTCTTTGAAGAGGTTTCATAAAGCCTGCCCGTCTTTCTCAAAGTGCACTTCTGTTAAAACACTGCACGGCCCTCTAGCTGGAATCCAAACAGCCTTTGGAAAGTTGACCAGGGAAAAATTCAGTGGAAAGGAAAACTTCTGTGACAAAGGGGAGATCTGAGCCACCCAGACATGCTTTCCTTTTGTCCACACCATTCCCATTGTTTGTGACTTTAAAGGATAACAGGAGCTGCACACAGGTTTTCTTGGTCCATTGAGGGTATTTCTCCCCACAGACTCTCTTTGTACTCGGTGCTGCGGGCAGAAAGTGCACAATAGATGGTGATGCAATGTGAGAGTTTCAGTTCCAGCAAAAGTAACTCCCACTGAGGCTGATTTGAAAGGCCGTCAAGGTGTGGTACTGAAAACACTCCCAGACTCAGATATTGGTTCCATTTTTCTCAGTTGCAGAAACTGGGACTGTGGTGTGAGAAAACACTCTTCATTCTTACTAGGTTATTTTATCTAACCTGGGCCTTGAATCCCAAATGTAGTTTTTATTGACAATTTACAGGGTGCCAGTAGCCTAGTGGTTAGTGCACCCACACCATGTGGACGACTGTGGCTCAGTGGTAGTGTCAGTCTTCTCTAAACCGGGAGATCTGGGGGTTCGATCCCCAACTGAAATTTCCCCTCACGAGGATCAATAAAGTAAATCTTCTTAATCTTCCTGCAGCCCAATACTTAAGTGTGTGGGCCTATCTTCTTCCTCAGTGTGCTGATTTTGCACTGCCCTGCGCCTATGTGATGTGTCTATAACTACCTCCTTTTTCTATCGCTAAATAATAATCGTGTTAATTGACTTTTGTAAGAAAAAAAAGTTTCTGGGCCACAGGTTTAGAACTGAAAGGTAAACTCCTGCACACTGTCTTACTTGCAAACATTTATTGTCATTATTAGTACCAGACTAGTTTGTCTGAAAGTTAGACAGTGTGCAGGAGTTTACCTTTCAGTTTTTGATGGACACATTGCTCTCCTACGCACCTGTCTTATGAAATGGATGTGTGAAGGTGTTTTCTACACTCGTTTAAAATGAATTTTAAATTGGCCAAGAAAATGTATCCAAGCACACTTTTCAAAGTAAGTACAAATGATCCTGAATTAAAAACATGTTGAGAATAATGTAAATACTGTGGTAAATTTAGTAAATGTTTTAATAAACATTGGCCTTCCATATGACATCTTTATATCCCTTTGATATGAAACAGATCTGGTGATGCCAGAAGTCAAGGAAGCTTTTACTGCTACCTCCTACAAGCCTGCTTCATCTCACAGAGGTTCCTGCTAGACCCCAGCAAGGGCCAAAAACTCCGGCCTGAGACAGACACTGAGCTCCCCACCATGTGTCCTCACTCTAATATATACATATAAACACACACACAGTCAAACACTTTTACACAACAAAGAGCTAGACTTCTTAAAATCCTCAAAACATAACTACTAGTGCCACTGTCCATCAAGCCCACAGATATTAAGAGGCTGCCCAGTGTCCATTATGCACACCGTACAGAACATAGCTAAGGAAACCAGCAGCAGAAAAAAGGAAATGTTTTTGCTACCTTTATTTGAAGTTAATACACGGAACATCTGCATGCCTGGAGATTTTAATGATTAATTAAGTCTCTCTGTTGTGTGTTGTGCAGAGATGAACACAGAGACTCGCTTTATTTGGAGAGGCACTGATCATTTCTCATGCTGTGGAAATGTACCTAAGCAGCATGTCTTTGCTTGATACCATGAGCTTAAGATCGTTAAACAGGGCTCCTGAATGTTAAAATTCCTCTACCTTAAAGGATTAATATGGGATTTTTCACACTTCAATGTAGAAATCAAGTATATCCTCTGAAAATAACTGTGAGTCATGACTGTCTACAATGGCTGTAACACCCAAGTCCCACTGTCTGTGATGTTTTCAGAGTTTTCAGAGTCCTATCTTCACTTTGTTTACATCGCCAGGACAGCCGGCTGACTCCTCCCCTCGTGTATAAAAGTTGTTTAATTGAGGGACTAGAGAAAAGAAGAATAACATACTGTACTAACTGCTTAACTGTGTTTCTAGATCACGCTCATTTCAGGTAAATTTACATGCAGTGTGAAGATACCAGCATAATAAAGATCGCTAGCATTAGCATGCTAACACAACAATGCACCGCAAGTTGTTTTGGTTTCATGCTGGTGCTCAAGGGCGACATCTGCTGGATAAAAAAATCGCATATAAAAACTTTAAACCATCATGGAACCATCATAACATGGTGGTTAACAAGTAAGAGTGTGACATCAGCATAAAAGTATGCTAGGTTCAAAAGTCTAAGCAAATATAATATTGCCATATAAAACCAAGCAAAGGTTGGCAATTAAACTTTAAAGTGCAACCTGAAGTACTTTACATGATGATCATGGATAGTATAAAAAAAGTATTGTACAGTTGAACACAAGGGACTATGTGATCGTCTCCACAGACACTCACCTTCATATTGTGGATGGACGCGAGGCATATAGGATCCAAATTTGATCAGGATGGGGATGTCGAGTCCCTGTCGAACCCATTCCACCACATGCAGGGAGGCGGAGGACACAGCAGCTGGGCCTGATGGAGGAAAGCTGCACTCCAACTCCACCACACCTCCGGCCTTTCCTCGCACCTCTGGCCTCCCACCTTCAGCAGTCACTGTTGGGTTTGGAAAAGGAAGGAAAATGACAGTCAAGTTAAGACCACACAAGTATCAAAAATAAATGATTAGCATGTCCACAAATCATGGAAGTGGGATGCAAATGAGTCTTTTAATGAAATGCTGCAAATACTTACAAAATAGGCAAGAAATGGCCACCACAGTCAAAATCTGCATATACGATCTCGCTGACCCCATATCTGTCAGTCACACAACCTGCAGCATGTTCAATCTGTTGGCAAAGGAGATACAATTGTTACAATCACATTACTTCCTTGGCTGCATGCAGAAAGACAGCCATCTGTGACAGATTTCCAAACTTAAAAGGCTACAGCCGAGCTGTCGCTTCTGTCATCATTTCACAGACAGGGGGGAGAGGAGCGTTCAGATTTTTATACAGCTTTCCAATAACTGGAATTCATCCCATATCATTACACAAATGGGCAGACCTGCCCCAGCTGCCAGAAAACTCCATGGCCCTATATCCTTTTTCTGCAAGTAAATGTCATAAATGTCACATAAATCCTTTGCGTGTCACGTGGAGAGCGACATCTAAGTGTTTTATTTAGGGGGACATCAATGGAGACGTTTGGCTGGAGCAGCCAGGAGGCTCAGAACTCAAGGACAGAGATAAGCCGAGCTGATGGGAGCATAAGGCATCAAGAAGTGCGACTAAATGTCAAGATGCAGCGACCGATTCAGTTCAGTCAAATAACACCGTCGGTTTTATAAAAACGGGTGAACTAGAGGGAGGAAATCAACAAGATAAGACCTTTTTAACGAATTAAAAAGCATCTGTTATTTTACCATCAATCACCTCCAACAGCTTGTAGTGAACTCTCTGGACTAATTAGCAGCACAGATGCTCATGAGAGGTGTTTGTGCATATTTGTCCTGGTAGCATGACATTGCACCACTGGTTTTAGGGTCACATTTGACAGGAAAAGGGGCTGACAGTCTAGCCTGGCCTTCTCTAGCTCATATCTGTAACAGCATCTCATTAAGATGAATTATTGCAGTACATCCAGATAAAGAGATGCAGCTCATTTTTGGTGGCAGTGCCCTTAACAAATACTCCAGGCTGAACATGTCTGTCCACTCACAATGGCAAACATCAAAACCTGGAGCAGAGAAGGACACTGCAGCTTCACTGCATATAGGAGAACATTTTTACATTTTGTTGTTCTTTCTATCAAGTTATGTCCGAATGCAACACAGAAATGTAAAAAATACAACTACATCAAACACATTCCTACACACACACGCACGCACGCACGCACGCACGCACGCACGCACGCACGCACGCACGCACGCACGCACGCACGCACGCACGCACGCACGCACACACACACACACACACACACAGTCAAAACTGCAACTCTCAGCTGATCTATTTTTTTTTTTAATCTATTGTTTTAAATCTATATTGTGGTATCCATCTATTTTTTTGTACATTTTTTTATCTTATTTAAATTGTACTGTGTCACGTTCTGTCTGCAATCTTTGCTCTTTGCTGCTGTAACAATGTAAATTTCCCAGTTGTGGGATAAATAAAGGATTATCTTATCTTACATACATAAATAAATACATACATGCATACATTGTCTTATGTTACGTTACATACATTTTCATTTTTCCCTTCAACCACTGTGAGTTAAGTTCTTAACTGACTTAACAATCAACAAGTGGATACTTCACATTACTGATAGTGTCACTCCTCGTGTTGATGCACTCTTTCATTACTCAGAGCAAAGCCCGACTGAAATGAAGGAGCTGCTCACAGGAGGAAAGAAGTGAACTATTTTCTCTCTTTTTTTTTGGCAGAGGTGCAAAAGCTGCAATGACAGCTCATAAAACAAGAAACAACAAAGAAAAAAAAAAACCTCAAATCCTTCTGGGGAAAAACTCTGATAACAGAAATTTGAAGTTGCAGTGTGATTGACAACATGTGGCTTCGGTTATATCTAGCTGCTGCAAAAAGAGTGTAGTGTGCATTAATTTCTGGAGTGCTATCTGTCACAAAGGACTTTATTAAACAGTACAGTTTTATTGTACATGTTCATCAAATCTGTCAGCGGCTACATTTCAGCTGAACGGTAACAGAAGGTTACAAAAGTTAATGCAACAATAACTTTGCCCACATGAAAACACCTTATCTACATGGTGAGCCAATAGTGTTATATGAATATACCATATGTTGTTTTGTGATGCTGTAAAAAAGTAATATTTAAGTTATATGTAAAATTCTCAGACTGTTCAAAAAGTAGTGCCAGTAAGTTTGATTCATATATGTTTACATGTATGTCTTTAAATCCATCTGTCCATAATAGTTTCCAAGACAGACTGTTACATGTTTGTTCTGTCAGTTTGATAATATCCTTGTCCCCCCCTTCAGTGATGTGTCTACTTCCTGACCGTGAACACACTTGTCCCAGCAGCAGCATATGTGCATATCTGCACCCTCTCACCACAAGGCTTTTATTGGCTTTTTCATTTCATGGCAGGGCAAAGTCTGAACTGGTGAAATACAATTACGCAGCCTGTCAACAGCTGCAGCCACTGTTTCAACACACTCCCATGCTTCAGCAAACAGCACAGCACACACAAATGTGCCTCAAAATCAAAGTAAAAGGCAAAAAAAAAAAAAAAAAAAGCAAAAGCCTCAATCTGCAGCATGTCTGCTGATCTTTGCCTGCCTCCATCCTTTGCCCTTCACCCTGCTGGCTTTATGCAAAGCAGCAAAACAGAAGCTTTATCCTGACTTTTTCTTTTTCTGTCTTTGAATTAGCATGGAGTGTGCTGAGACTGACTCAAGGTGATATTAGAGCATTATGATTCTGCTGCTTCTGGTCTTTGCAAAGTGGGAACAAAAACACACAAGAGCCAAATAAGACTGTTGCCATGGCTAAGCAGCGGCAGGTTTTTCCTGTTTGACAAATAATGAACAGATGCTCAACATCTCCTCGTTCTTCATTGTCTGTCTCTTGTAAACAGGAGAATGGGAATGATAAGACTTGTATATCATGTAATGGCATTCATCAAATCACTGATGAAGAAATATGAGCAGACACTTCTGCACTGCCATCCAAATATGGACACAGATGACTCAAATGTCGTGTACAGCTTTGTTGCTCTAACAAGCTGCAACTTATTTGAGAGTCTGGCAAAAACAGCAAGGTAACAGAATGGAAAAACTCTGATAAAAGTTGGTTTTTAGATAGAAAGTGCAGCAAACACAGCAAGAACCAAGATGAGAGGCACCAAAAAAAAAAGGTCTTGTTAAGCTGCAGGACATTTTCTGTCATTAGATGTGAACCAAAGTCTGGCAGAGCTGGCAGACAAAGCGTCCTGCACAGGTGAAACCCTCCACCGCGGTTACAAAGATGGTCTCCAGACAGTTTCCCTTAGACAGTTTCCCCTATCCACTGACATCAAGGACATGCATAAACATAAGCACAGTGACAGCCCGGCACTCAAGGAACGGTTAGAGCTATAATAAATGAGCCAGTGGCTCTCAAAAGAAAGCACCCCGTCTAACGCAGATTTATCAGCTGACAGGAATAGAAATGTCCGTGACAGGCATGCTGCTGGAATTCTGTGTTGTTGTTGTTTTAATCTACACATGGAAAGAAATAGGCAGCAGCTGATTAATCGCGGCCGAGGCACAGCAACAGATTTATCAGCGGTGCTGCCTCCTCTTGCCCCAGCACACTAGAAACCAAAAGATAAAAGGACTCTGACGCATTTGTTTTCTGATCAGATTTATTCCATTTCTCTCCCCGAGTATTGCCATGGTCCATGTGTGTTTGTGCTCATGGTTATAAGATATCATTTATACTGTCGGGGGGTATTGATTTAGACGGAGGTATCCTAAGGGAAACAACGAGGGAATTAGTTCTGATTGTTACAGTGATGTCAAGGCTGTTTGATTCCACCAGCAAGATCTCTCTACAGAGAGAAAACAGAAAAAATAAATCAAATACTTGAAGTGCAAGCTAAAGGGAGCTGACAATTTAATGTAAAAAGATTATAAAGATCAGAAAAGGATCTTTTTATGTCACACAGTTTTCATCCTTATCAAAACCCGGTGCAGCACTTACCAGGGATGGGGATCAACAACCAATACTCCTTAACGGTATGAGACTATATCGATACCCCTCTAAAGATGCTTTAAACGTTATTAAGCAATCAGTGAATGTTTGTGCAACAGTGATTTTATTTAAAAGACTTGACTCATATCGAGATGTTATGTTATATTACAGGGCCCACAAGATGGAGGCTTTGATCCTCTAAAGCGGGCGGCCGGGGTTCGAATCCCACCTGTGACTTCTTTCCCGCATGTCATTCCCCACTCTCTCTATCTCCCTGATTTCAAACTCTATCCACTGTCCTATCTCTACATTAAAGGCACAACAAAGCACAAAAATCTTTAAAAAAAAGCAGTATTGATAAGATAAGACGTTTATTTTTTGAAAAATGCAGAACTGGATCCTAATGGAACCAGGTTCTGATCCTCATCCCTAGCCATTACCCTTTACACAAATCTAGCATTGACAAATCAGTTAAAAATATGTGTGTGATATGTGGCTATCCCCCAGTGTTAAAAAATGAAGCCAATGCAGATAATGAAGTTCCTCAATTTTCCACTTAAGGCTTGCTCCAGAAGCTACATAAATCCATATTAGAACTGACTTTGTTTTTGGATTTCTGTACAGAAAAAACAATCAGGATAAATATCAAATTGAGCTTAAAATAAATAAATGGAGATATGACTTTTGGCCATATTTCCAGCCCTAAGACAGTCTAATGGGTTAATACTGGAGTGATAGGAAAGACTTAAGCAGAGATGATGAGTGGACTAAAGAGGTCTGTTCATCACTTTTTTCAACCCTGCAACCTTAATCCATGTAGTTTAAAGAAAACTCAAGTGACATCATCCCAAGGCTTTAATCCGATGTGGTACTCCTAAACAGACTTTAATGGGGTTCCCCTGGAACCTCCGACCAACCAGTAAATGTGGACTCAAGACTTGCGGCATCTATGCTGTGAGATGGGATGGCCCCATGAGACAGCTGTCAAATTGAGAGAGAATGTGAGAGAAATGTTTTAGATACTTGAGTCCTTATTTTAAAGAAAAACACGCCTGCAGACTGTCCTGTAGACATTTGACTCACACAGTCCGTGTCCAACTTCATCAGACTGAAAGTCATGATAATCAGTCTTAAAGTTACG